ATTTAGAATGATGTTGGCTGTGGGTTTGTTATATATGGCTTTAATTATGTTGAGGTATGTTCCCTCCAGTCCAATTCCCTCTAGGACTTTAACATAAATGCATGTTGAAAGGCCTTCTCTCCATCTATTTGAGATGATCATGTGTTTCTTGTCTTTGAGCCCATTCATATGATTTATGATGTTTATTGACTTATGTATATTGAACCATCCTTGCATCTCTGGAATAAAGCTGACTTGATCATGGTGGATGATCTTTTTGATGAGTGTTGTCATGTGGTTTGCAATTATTTTGTTGAGAAATTTGCATCTATGTTCATTAAAGATACGGGCCTATAGTTTTCTTTTTTGGTTGTATCTTTACCTGGCTTTGGTATTAGAGTGAAGAGTGATGCTAGTGTCATAGAAGGAATTTGGAAGTTCTCCCTCCATTTCTATCTTTTTGAATAAATTAAGTAGTTTGGATGTAGTTCTTTAAATGTCTGGTAGAATTCTGCTGTAAATCCATCTGGTCCTGGGGTTTTTTTTAGTCAGGAGGTTTGTGTTACTGTTTCAATTTCCTTATGTGTTATGGGTCTGTTTAAGCTGTTAATCTCTTCTTGGTTTAGTTTTGGTGGTTCCTATACCTTTAGATATCCATCCATTTCTTTTACTGTGTATGCTGAGAATTTTTTCCTCCTTTATTCCCATAGTTCTTTGTATAGCCCTCCTTCTTCCCTTCCCCTTTACTGCCCTTTTTGTGTATTTCTCCCTCAGCAGCACCTTTCTCCTACTATCCTTATCTCTCAGGATCCTTCTTTACCTTTACCTCCCTGGTTCCCTTCCGTAATCCTGGTTCCTTCAGATACATCAGGATATGCACTCACTCATAAGGATTCGGTGCTAGAATCCACAAATGAGGGAGAACATACATTTTTTTGTTTTTCTGAGTCTGTGTTACTTCACTGTTGAGACAGAGTCTTCCTGTAGTCCCAGCTGGCCTGGAATGCACAGAGATCCACCTGCCTTTGTCTCCTGAGTGCTGGGATTAGATTAAAGGTGTGCATAACCATGCCCAACTAGTGTTGTCCAACCTTTTGATACTGCGAAATGACCTTGCCGTCTTCAAATGCGTTGTGCCATATTCATAGCTATTCTAGAATGCAAGCAGCCTAGGGCTGTAGGTTAGACACAGTTATTAATTAAGCTTTCTGGGCCTCATTTTTCTTATCTGTAAAATGAGGCATGTTAAATGAGTATGAATTAATATATGTAAAACTCTTTATGTTTGGCCCTGCATAGTAGGAGCTCAATAAATGTTTTTGGGTTTTTGTAAAACACTGGGAGATTGAATTTGTTTTTATCTGTGTATGTATGCTTATGCTGTAGATCAAACCCAGGGACCCAGACACAGTAAGAAATGCTCCACCACTGAGCCATACCCCAGCCCTCAATGGATGTTATCTTTTTGGCAGTATTCTCTTAAACTTAATCCCTGTACTGATTAGTTTTTGTCAACTTGACATAAACAAAAGTCACCTGGGAAGAGAGAACCTTTACTGAAAAATTTCATGTCTATGAGGTATTTTCTTAAATGCTAGTTGATATAAGAAGCTTCACCCCACTGTAGGTGGTGCTATCCCTATAAAGGTAGGCCTGGGCTGTATAAGAAAGTTAGTTGAATAAACCAGTAAGCAACCTTCCTCCATGGTCTCTGCTTCAGTTCCTGCTTCCGGGTTTCTGCTTCTGCTTCCTTCAGTAATGGACTATAACTTGTAAAATGAAATAAACCTTTTCCTTCCCAAGTTGGTTTGGGTAGAACAATGCCTAAGTGAGTCTTTAGAGCACTGTGTATAACATAAGTGATGGCAAGACTGCATCCTTACGGATTCTTCTCTGTCAACCAGCTCCATGCATGGCAGTACAGTTGGCTCTTTCTCATTACATTTATGGTTGTAGTTAAGCAGCTTTCTGTTTTTCCTCTGGAAATGAACTGATCTTAGCTACTTTAATTTCTAAGGCATTTTAGGCCCCATAACACAGTGGACTTGTTTGAATAGTAAAAGCAAAAGCTAGCGACAGCCTATTTTCAATCTCCTATGTTGGTTTAGACATAATCCCCATATGTTTTCCCTGGGAATCAATGAGAGGACAGTGGGAATCTGAGCTCTAAATTTGCTGTTGAAAAGAGGTAATGAGTCAGTGGCCACAAAAAGTATTTAATTTTTTAAAAGATATTTTCCTATAGCTGGATTGTGTGGTTGTAACAAGTGATTAGAACTCTCCAATTGTGATTTTAGCCTGCAGCTTGAAATTGTGGCCCTCTTTGCAAGGAAAAGTGCTGTGCCTGTGATATGATTTATAAGCTCATTTTACAATTTTACTTTTCAGATCACCAGTCAGAATTTTGGAGGTCATAAACTCTCCAATGGTGGAGGTAAGCCATGGCTGCAGATGATAAAGTTGCTATCTTAACTGATGATGAAGAGGAACAGAAGAGAAAATATGTGCTTGCTGATCCATTCAATGGCATCTCCAGGGAACCAGAACCATCTTCCAATGAAACACCCTCCTCTACAGAAACTTCTGCTATCCCCGAGGAGGAAATAGACTGGATAGAGAAACATTGTGTGAAAATAAACAATGACCTTCTCATTTCCAAGGTTTTTTATTTTTTCTTTTATTCTGCCTATGGCTCTCTTTACCCACTTTTGCCTGTATATTATAAACAGCTGGGAATGTCCCCCAGCCAGAGTGGACTGCTGGTGGGTATTCGATACTTCATTGAATTCTGCAGTGCCCCCTTTTGGGGTGTAGTTGCAGATCGTTTCAAAAAAGGCAAAATTGTCCTTCTCTTTTCACTTTTGTGTTGGGTTTTATTCAACCTGGGCATCGGCTTTGTCAAACCTGCTACCTTGAGATGTGTACCAAAGATTCCCCCAACAGCTCGCCCCACCAATGTAAGTCACCCAGTAACGGTCCTGCCTGTGAATTCCTCTACTCTCTCTTTCTTTACCACACCACCAAAAATTCGAGAGAAAAGGAACCTGTTGTCATTGATGCCGCAAACAGGGCCCAATGTCTCAGACACTGATCTCTTGTCAACAGCTTTGGTCTTGACCAGTGAACCCATGCTGGAGCCCCAGACACCTAAAATTACTGACAGTGTTATAGACTTGATTTTGAATACAAGCACAGTGACCCTTGCTCCCACAGGAAATGTCACCAGGGAGACAACCACTGCTGTTGTCACCACCTCCAAACCTCTACCATCTGACCAAGTCAGCCTTGTTTATGATCAACAAGAAGTGGAGGCAATATTCTTGGTGATCTTGGTAGTGGTCATAATAGGAGAATTTTTCAGTGCCTCTTCAGTCACCATTGTGGACACAGTAACCCTCCAGTACCTGGGAAAACACCGAGACCGCTATGGGCTGCAGCGCATGTGGGGCTCACTGGGCTGGGGCCTAGCCATGCTGTCTGTGGGCATTGGCATCGACTACACCCACATAGAAGTGCTCATTGATGGGAAGGGCTGTAAGGCCCCTGAGTACAGGAACTACCAGATCGTCTTCATCGTCTTCGGCGTTCTCATGACCATGGCCTTGATTGTTGCCACTCAGTTCCGGTTCCGCTACAACCACTTCAAAAACAATGATAGTAAAGGGAAAGAGGTGGAGATCCCTCAGGTGGAAAGGAACAACTCCACAGAGTCCTCTGAGGATACCCCAACTGCCACAAGTCACTTACAGGCCTTCAACTTCTGGGACTTGATCAAGCTGCTCTGCAGTGTGCAGTATGGCTCGGTGCTGTTTGTGGCCTGGTTCATGGGTTTTGGATATGGCTTTGTCTTCACCTTTCTCTACTGGCATTTGGAAGACCTGAATGGAACTACAACCCTCTTTGGGGTCTGTTCAGTCTTGAGCCACGTGTCTGAACTCACAGCTTACTTTTTCAGTCACAAGCTTATTGAATTGATTGGCCACATCAGGTAAGAAAATGCTTACTATTACTGCTCCTCAGCAATTGAACCTTTTCTACTTTATAACTCCTTTCAGTATATTTAATGGCATTACGCTTTGTGTGGGACCCTAGGGTTGGGGTGGGGATGAAGCTTTCTGTTGCTTTTCCTCCTTCAAGTAGAAACAAAAGGAAGGTAGGCATGGACCTGGCTGGATTATCTAAGACAAACAAAAAAGAGGCTACACCCTCCCTTCCACCATGCAGAATAAATCTATAGGCTACTTAGCTATGGGCTAAGGGACTTACAATAAATGTTTCAGGTATGGAAACATCAACTTAGTGGACTGTGTTATTTCATGGACACTGAGGGGCCTGCCTGTGTGCAGCACTTATGAAAGAGGGTTTTAGTGGATGAAGGGGGTTGTCTTTCTCCAGCCTTCATTTATTCTCAGATTACTTCTATAGATAGAGCTGGAAAATGTGGTGTATAAAGAAGACCAGAGGCTGGGCATGTAGCTCAGTGATAGAGCACTGGTGAGCATGGCTTTGATCCTCAGCACTGATGGGAAAATAAAAAAGGAAAGAAAAGGAGAAAAGATGACTTATATTTAATAAAACTGTGATATAGTATAGCATAATCCCCTGATCCATGATATTACATGGAAGAAATTTGTATATAACTTCCCCTCCCTTAGTTACACTAATTTTTGCAGTTTCAATTGGCTTGAAGACATGGACAATTTAAAAATCTGCCTTTTACCTATAATTTCCTATTACTACCCTTTTAGTAAAAAAATTTGATAAATGTGTATTATTTCTGGTTGTGTAGTATTTCTTACTATTAATGTTTATGCAAAGCAGATTAGATGGTACCTTGCTCTTTATATTTCCCTGCTCTGAAATGTGGAGTCAGCTACACTTAGCTATTCTTACCTTGTAAAAAATGTATAATATAAAATATTAAGTTGACATCACTAAAAGCAATTACATGTGTTTGTGCATGTGCGATAATCTTCAAATCTGTTGTTGTTGCTATATAAAATGAAAGAGGAGAAATAGACAGTGGTAAGGTTTGGAAAACATTGATACTTATTCCTTTCAACTGCAGAAAACATTTTCTAATTTAAAGTTTAAATGAGATTCATGTTCCCCCAAAACAGTTGTGAGCATTTTTCCTTGTTTGGTTTGGTTTTGCTTTGGAAGACTGTGTCTTGTTCATTTACTTAAATCTTTGATCTTTCATTGTCACTAAAATCCAGGCACTGTGTGGATGGTTCCCAGACCACAAGTCCCTGGGGTTCAGTAATGGATCTGTTCTGAAAGGGACTTATAGTGGTAAGGATGAAACTGCCCTCCACCTTGGGCCAGCTGTGTTCATGTTCTCTGAGTCCAGTACATGGACCATGATGAACTGGTTTTCTGGAGCCTGTGTAGGAGTGTGTCTCACTGCTAAAAGTATCTCTTGAATCAGTGATTTATTCCCAAGAACATGTCTAGTTAAGTGGCAGCAGTGAGTGGAATTCCTAGACAGAATTATTTAATCCAGTCAATAGCATAAGTTGAAAATGGATTCAGTATAGAGATACATATATATGTTATATTTTAAAATAAGTTATATGAGCTTCTTTTTTCTTTTTTCATACTTCCTTTTTTATTTTTTGAAAATTTCACACATTAGCACTGTATCTACACAGTTTCTTTCCCTCCAACTCTTCCTGCATCCTTTACCACACTTCCTCTCAATTTTGTGGCCTTTTCTTTATTATTGTTGCATAAAAATGCAGGATCCATTTAGTGGTACATGCGTGTGTGTGTGTGTGTGTGTGTGTGTGTGTTTAGGGCTGACCATGTGGGATTGAATAACCTATCAGGAAATTCATCCCTGGAGATAACTAGTTCTCTCTCCCTCAGTAGCCATTGATTGCCTGTAGTTCTTCATCTAGCGGGTGGGACCTTGTGAAATTTCCCCTGTCTGCATTGGTCTGTCAACTAGTCTTGCCATTAGGCACATCTAGTTATCTGGTTTAGGCAACCATATTGCTGAGATTTCACAGGTGCAGCTTCCCTGTCCTATCTAGAAGACACTATCTAGCAGCAGGTGTCTTTTTCCTCTGACTTACAATTTTTTTCCATTCCCTCTTTCCCTATGCTCCTAAGCCTTAGGTATAGAGATTACACTGTAGATGTATCAATTGGGGCTGGTCACCCCATGGTCCCTTATTCTCTGCATTTTGACCAGTTGTGGAACCTTGTAATAGTCTCCATCTCTTACAAAAAGAAGCTTCTTTGATGAGTGGTGAAAGGATACTTGGCTGTGGATATAAAGATAAATATTTAGAATACAGTTAGAAATTCCATCAGTTTAAGAAAGTAAAGTGGCAGTAGGGGGCTGGAGAGATGGCTCAGCAGTTAAGAGCACTGGCTGCTCTTGCAAAGGACTAGGGTTGGATTCCCAGTACCCACATGGTAACTCCAGTTCCAGGGGCTCTGACACCCTCTTCTGGCCTCTTTAGGCAATGCATGACAGGAGTGTGTTTATATTGATGCAGGCAATACACTCATACATATAAAATAAAGATAATAAATACATTTAAAAAAAAAAGAAGTGGCAATAGTAGGTTCTCCTCTAGTGTTTATAGCCTCTCCAGTCATGGCAAGGTTTGTCTACATTTACAGCACCACTCAAGAACTTACCCCTTGTTGAGTGGGTCTTAAGTCCAATTAGATAGCTATTGATAACCCCCAAGTTATAAAGGTGCCACTGTTACACCCTTAGGGATATTTTCCTGGCCTGGTCATTGTTGTGGTTCACAGCTTTTCAGGTGGGTAAGCCTATTTATTGCTTTTCTCCCTCAGCAGTTTGCATAGCACTGTCTGATACCATGAGAATTCTAGGCTCTTTTTACATCTAGAAAAGGACAGCTCCCTTCTGCTTGTTTGAAATACATATTTTCTTTCTGGGTTTTTGTTTGCTTGTTTTTCAGAGCTGGGGATTGAACCTTGGGCCTCATGCATGTTAGGTAAGTGTTCTAGCACTGAGCTATATCCCCAGCCCTGAGATGTGTACTTTGATAACAAAATCCCAGTCAGCTGTCTCCTGTATCTGGTAATTACATGAGCTTACACTTGTACTTTTCCTTTCTAAGTATATTAGTTATTCGTTACTTGGAAAGCTACAGTTCATATAACCTTAATTTTCTGGTTTTATGTACAAAGAGCATCTCCTTCTTCATGTTTAATGATGTAGTAGAAGAAAAGTGGCTCCTGTAGTTTCAACATTGCTCTCCAATGCCTCAGTGAGTCCATCAATATGAGGTCATTCACCTCTTTGGCATTTTAATTCTGTCCGTTAAAACATATTAATTAGGGGCTGGGGTGGTAAAAGCACTTGCTGCCCACATTTGAACTCAATGAGTTCAAATTCTCAGAATCCAGAAATAAGCCAGACACAGCAGTGTAAGGGCCTGTGATTCCAGTACTGTGAAGGAGGGAAAAGAGAGGAGGGAAAAGCAGCCCTGGAAGCTTGCAGACAGCTAGCCTGGCAGATACAATATGAAAACAATGGAGACCCTATCTCCAACAAGGTGACAACCAGTGCCCATGGCTGTCCTCCAACCTCTACACACATGCCGTGGCACATGTGCACCTGCATTCACAAGCATGATTATGCACATACACACATATGCTTACACACACATCACTCACATATACACATATACACAAAACATATTGGATTATTGATTAAAATAGTCTGATAGGTAAAGTGAGATTAGGCCTGTACTTGTACTCACAAACGGGCTGTTTCTCTTGGTGACAGCCTTGGGAGCCCAGTCATTTGCTACTGTGTCGGCCTTTTTTACATGAATCCTGGGGATTAAACTCCAGTCCTCATGCTTGTGAGGCAAACATTTTACCAACTGATCTAGCTCCCCAGCTCCCTGCTTTCACAATTATTTGTTTTCAAAATGAAGAATTCATACAAGAAAACAGTTTTGAAAACAGTACAACCAGCTTTAAACCACTTAGTTGTTTAACAGTCCCACAATTTGGGCTCTGTGTTTCAAGGAATCATTTATTAGTCTAAAACACATACAAACACAGAGTAAATGATTTCTGATTGTAACCTTGCATTTTGTCCTTATCTGGAAAGTAACTTTGCAAGGCAAATAGGAAAATGCTGAATATTTGCACTTAAAAAAAGTCAATTTCTTTTTATTTGAAATCATAAGACTTTGGAATTTATAGTGAGTATATTTCTAATCCCATTTATGTAAGGATTATTAACTAGAGCTATAAATATATCTTAACAGTATATTTACCTTGATGAATATTTGAACAACCATTAGTAGGGTTGTAACCAAAGTAAATAATTCATAAATTTGCAAGCTATTATTACCCTGTGTTTCATCATCACCTATGCCATTCTATTTAAATCTATTTCCATTCTAAGGGACATATAGAAATCTATTCAATCAAACACTTTGCTCAGAAATTCTTATATTTAAGGTCAGTTCTGCCATGCAGTGCTATCTAGAGGGAGGAAAATGTTACCTATCGTTAACTAGGTGTTACTACTTAGTAATAGCTAAATATCCAATAGGCTGGCTATCATGAAAGATGATGATGCAGGCAACAAGAGGGTTATGAGGCTTTCTGTAGAGAACACTGCTGGAAGGCCCAGAACATTGTAGAAGGTGCAGGGCTGCAATTTGGCAGAGGACACAGGAAGGCACACACAGTGCATTATGCTCATTGGAGAAAGAACTGTAACAATCAAAGAGGAAGGTGTTCTACCTCCATGTATGAGAATTTCATTGTTTGCTCCGCATCCTTTCCTTTGTTTCTACCCACATCTTTGTGCCTTCTTTGCTCCTGTGCCTCTGACCTCCCCTTTGCCCAGTGTGGAAGAACACTGATTCTTGCAGGTATCTTCCTGGATCTGGTACCCTGTCTTCTGCTGGATTCCGCTAATGTATTGGCTCTCTACTAGCAGACTCACCAGGAAGGCTTTTACAGCTCTTCTATGAG